CTGGTCTAGGGGCTATTCAGTATGGAGTTCTTGGCACTATGTTAACACAAGACAATTCATTTAATGATTATGTGCTATTTGTTAGCATGGTTGAAGGATAGTAATCAATAAATAATTTATCTGTTCAGAATATCTTATTATAGCTCCCAGGAGACATATTTCCAAAAATGATAATAACCACAAAATGTATTTTTTAAAAATTTTTTTTTGTTTTAAATTTTGTCACACCCCGCAACACTCAAGGCTACTTCAGGCTTGGCATTCTGTCTGGCACCCAGTGGTATTAAGGCTTGAACCCAAGATCCAGCATGCAAAGCACATGCTCCAGTCATTTTACCTGCCCACCCCCCCTCACTTTCCAAAGGGTTTTCAAAGGACCTGAGTTCAATTCTTCAATCCATAGCATCACAGAGCTAAGTGTAGGCTCTGAACACCACTGCTGTTATCTAACACCACCCTCTCATAAACAAGTAGTTTCAGTTAAACTGCTTAATTTTAGCTTTGTTTTATTTTGTTTCATTTTGCCTTCCTTCCCACTTCCTTTTGCTTCCCTTCCTTTCTCTTCCCTGTTTTCGCTTTACCAGGGACTTAACCCAGAGCCTCACATTTGCAAAGGAAAAGCTCTATCAGACTGAGCTACATCTTGTTTTTTTGGATACTAGTCATTGTAACAGGTATGAGGTGGTATCTCTTTATACTTTTATTTGGGGGTGGGGGTGTGGGAAGGACCACACCCCTCCGTGTGCTCAGGGCTTACTCCTGGTCCTGAGATCAGGAATCATGCAAGGAGGGACTTGAGGACCATATATGGAGGGTCTGGGATCAAAACCAGATTGGCTGCATGCAAGTCAAGCATCCTATTTGCGGTTCTTTGTATTTTTTAAACTATATATGGAGACGTTATTGGGCCCACTCGAGCAAATCGATGAACAACGGGAGGACAGTGACAGATGTTAAATAATATAAAGAGGCATTAATTTTGTAAAATTTACATTTTTAAAAGTATCACTGTCTTCCCATTGTTCATTGATTTGCTCGAGCGGGCCCAGTAACATTGTGAGACTTGTTACTGTGTTTGGCATATCAAATATGTCATGGGTAGCTTGCTAGGCTTTGCCGTGCGGGCGTAGCTTGCCAGGTTCTCCAAGAGAGGCGAAGGAATCGAACTCGGGTCGGCCATGTTGGCTGCGTGCAAGGCAAACGCCCTATCCGCTGTGCTATCTCTCCAACCCTTTAAAAGTATATTTGTTTAAAATGGTTTTTTGGACTATACCTGGCTCTGTGCACAGGGATCACTACTATAAGTCATGCCAGGGATGGAACCTGGGTCAGGCATGTGCAAGTCAAGCGCCTTACTCACTCACTATACTCTTTCTTTTTTCCTTTTTTCCCCCCCTAATCTAGAAGTCGCACTGTAGCACAATAGCACTGTCCTGTTGTTCATCCATTTGCTGGAGGGGCACCAGTAAAGTCTCCATTATGAGACTTGTTACTGTTTTTGGCATATTGAATACGCCACTGGGAGCTTGCCAGGCCCTTATTCAGGCAATGATTAAGCTGAATGAATTGGGCATGGACTCCAATTGTACTATCTTTCCAACTATCTTTCCAAAAAGTATACTTTTGGAAAGATGTAATGTGTAATGATTTGTGAGTTATTGCATATTTAAAAGATGATTATTTATATATGTCAATATATATCATCTATATGTTAATCTGTGAGTTGAACTCACTCAATTCTGTGAATACTAGATAATCTACTGTGTGATATTGTTCCAGGGGTGATAAAGTTGAATTATTGCTTTTTTTTTTTGGTCTTCCAAAAATATTCGGAGTAAGAGAAGTGACTGAGGAAACAAAAATGTAAAGGTTGAAGTAAAAAGAAAATTGTATTAGGAAGAAAGGGTTTCAGATGAAAATCTTGGAGCAGGATAGAGGTCTGTACAGCTTTTAAGGAGCTTGTGCACTTGCCAACCACGGTTTGATTCCACATATGGTCACTAAGTGCTGCCAGGAGTGAGTCCTGAGCACAGAGTCAGGAATAAACCCTGAGCACCATGGCTCCAGAGAAAGTGAAATCCTTCTTTAAGTGAGCTCTAAAGAACATTGTAGCAAGTGGTTGGGATGACTTTTGAAGGTTGAGTTTAATTTCAACCTTTTTTTTTTCTTTTGGGTCACACCCGACCATGCACAGGGGTTACTCCTGGCTCTGCACTCCGGAATGACTCCTGGCATGCTTGGGAAACCATATGGGATGCTGGGAATCGAACCCCAGTAGATCAGGTACAAGGCAAACAAGCTACCTGCTGAGCTATCACTCCAGACCCAGGGTGTGTTTATTTCTACAGGAGAAGATTATCAAGATAGCAACTTTTTTAACAAATGTGTACTACAATAACACACAAACTACTAGAAGAGAAAGTGATGCTCTGTTTCCTCTAAAAACAGCCTGAAACAGATATGTACTCTTACATGTAGTCATACTCAATTCCATAAAGTAGAAAGTGGTGGGGCTCAGAGTGATGTGAGTGCACAGCGGCAGGGTGTTTGCCTTGCTCACAGCCAGCCCGGTCGAGGCAGGTTCGATTCCTCTGCCCCTCTTGGAGGGCCCGGCAAGCAACTGAGAGTATCTCGCCCATGCGGCAATGCCAAACACAGTAACTACTCTGTCTTAAAATGGAGACTTTACTGGGCCCCCTTGAGCAAAATTGATGAACAACGAGTGGACAGTATTTGTTTGGGCAGAAAGTGGTGAGTGAAATTTTCAGTTCCAAATGTCCTATGCTTTTAATCAAGTTCAGTAGAATTCTTCTCCTTAATTAACTGTAAATCTCTACTGTTTCTCCATCTGTTTTCCTTGTCTTAAGTTCAACCAGGATTCTACCTGCAATAAGTCAAATCAAGAGCTATGACGTGAGGCTCAGTCATCAGTACTTGGTAAAAGTTCATTCTCCTGGTAATTATATTTGGTTTCCGGGTCACACCTGGTGGCTACTCCCTGCCCAGTGCTTAGGAGGCCGCTGGCGAGATGGATCCAGATTTCCAGCATGCAAAGCAGCGTTCTGGCCCTTCCAGCTGTCCTGCCTGCCTTCTTCAGAGCGGCAAATTAACAAGCAGTTTAAATTCCAGTTGGTCAGTTTAAATTTTCCCAATCACTTTTTTTCTGGCTCAATAAATAAGAATTTTCCAGAAGCCTGAGATATAGTCCAGTGAGTAAGCCCTTGCTTTGTACGCGGCGAACCATGTTCTATCTCCACCATCTGGTGTGGTTTCCTGAGCACCAACACGATTGATTCCTGAGTGTAGACAGGAGTAACCCCTTAGCATTGCCAGGTGTGGCCCCCAAACAAAAACAAAATGGGAATTTTCCAATATTCGCTTGCATTTTATCGAATATTTACTACTGTCAAACAGTCACAAGCACTCTTGGGCGCATTATCTCATCGAATTTTCAAGAAAAGCCCCGAGGGAGGTGTTATTTCTTTGTAGCTTAAGCAGTTCTTGCCCCATTCCGGAACCTTAGAATTTAATTGGCTACGCAGTTTCTCTCTCCTAATTCGCTCCTGGCTGGGAGCTGCTGAGAATGCCAAAGCCTCGCTGACGCTATAAATAAGCGTTATCTGGAAAGAGGGACTGGGAACAGGCCACCGGGAGGCAAAACGCGGACCTTGCAGGGCTGACCTGGTCCTTTCAGAGCTTGAAATTCTCAGACCTCGCCGGCATGTGATCCCCCACGCCTTGCCTTGCCTTACTCCTACTCAGTCCCACATTCCAAGCTCACTGGTTCTCGCTGGTTAGTTTCGGGACTAGAGTAACTTCTCTAGGTGCTATGATTGTTTGGTTTGGGTTGGTTGGGGGCCCCAGCCGTTGGTGGGGGGTGGTTGTGGGGTACCCCCAGCGTTGCTGGAGGACAGGGCAGACAGGGCGTGCAGGGATCCATCAAACCAGAGCCACCTGCCTGCAAAGCATGCCCTTTCTGCTGGCCCACTTAGGGTTTTCTTTAGAGGTGTTGCTTTACAAGTGTTGATGTTAATGTGTTCCGCCATGCTGCGCGGGGCTGGGGGGGGGGGGGGTTGTTGTTTGTTTGTGGCCACCTCTCGCATCCCAGGGGCTATTTCTAGTCTGCCCTCCCAGGACAATGGTGTGTGTGTGTGTGGGGGGGGGGTGGAGTGGGGGACCCAGACCTGTGCACTGGGTCCATTTGAGCACTGCCTGGGGCCTTTGAAGCCCTCTTTTCAGACCCCTAGTTAGAATAGAGATTATTATTATTGTTATGATTATTATTATGGTTTGGGGACCGCACCTGGTGATAGTCAGGATTTACTCCCAGATTTGTGCTAGGGCATAACTTCTGAACCAAGATCATCGTCTCGCCCTAGTACAGCCCTGGAATAACCTTCAAACGCCAGAGGTTAAAAAATAATAGTAATAATAAAAGGGCAATCGGGTATCTTCAAAAATCGGGGACGCAGATTTCGGGTTGGAGGAAAGGCTTCTTCCGCGGTCTTTGCCTACTGCCCATCCAACTCAGAGAGACCGGCACGATGCTCAGTTCTCACCTCCAAAGCCAGTGGGGACCCGCGACTCGAGGTGCCCCACCCGCCTTTCCTCCAAGGCCCGGAGGGGTGGGGGGCTGCAGGGCGCGGACACCCTCGTCTGAAGACCGGGGGTGCGGTGGGGTGAGGGGCTAGACCGACCCTGCAGCCCCCACCCCCAGCGTGAGCTCTCCCCGCAGCTGCAGGCGCGGGGGAGCTGTCCCCGCGGAACCCCGAGACGCAGAACGTCGCAGCGGCGGGTCCCGGGGGCGGGCGCGCACGGCCCCGGTTGCCACGGCAACCCCACGCGCCCGGCTCCTCTGGAGCGCGCCGCGGCCTCGCCGGAAGTGACGTCGCGCACCTGCCGAGCGGGGCGGGGGTGAGAGGGAGGGCGGGGGAGCCGCCGGGTCCCGAGGTGCCGTAGCCGCCAGCCGGTCGGGAGCGCGCGAGGCGCCGGCTGCCGGGAGGGGAAAGCCGGGCCGAGAGCAGCCGCTGCGAGGGAGCCGCGGGCTGGGGTCGCCGGCATGGCGCTGCTGCTGCGCTTGGTGCTCCTGTGCGGGGTGGCGGGTGAGTGCGCGGGATGGGGGAGCAGTGGGTGCGGGGGGGATGCATTGGGCTCTGCTGGCCCCCGCGGCCGCCCGGGAGACAATGAGCCGGGGGTGGGGGGGGAGGGAAACGGGCGCTGCTCTGGGGGCGCTGCGGCAGGCGTGGCGGAGCTGGTGGGAATTGCAACCTGCTCCTTTTTTTTTTTTTTTTTTGTGCAGGGCTGTGCGTGATCCGGGAAGGTTAAAGCGGCTGGGAAGGGAGCCCGCCGAGGGGTTGGGGGCGTCCAGAAGGCTGGGGCGTGGGGGGGCTGGAGGGTGTGTGTGGGGCGCTCCGTTGTTGGCAGAACCGGGGAGCGAGCCCCAGAGTGAGGGGCGGCGTGCCAGGGCTCCCGGGGCGTTTGCAACGGGTGCCCTTGGAGGCTCTCCCGGCCCCTTCTGGGCGGCAGGTGCGGACTTTGCCTTATTATTTGTCGTCGTCGCCGTATTCCCTGGGTTAGCCGCCGTGGCGATTTGTCGAGTCGCGATTTTAAAACCCCATTGCAAAAAAAAAAAAAAAAAGAAAAGAAAAAGCCTTGGGCGGTGAGTTTTTCTTAGGGGTGGCGAGGAGACTTAATTTCATCAGGCCAGGATTAAATGCAGCCGGAGCGTTTCGGCGCGTCGGATCTGCCCAGGTCCCCTTCGAGAGAACGAGGAGCCCGGCTGGGACTGGGGGTGGAGATGGGGGTGGAGGGGGTGGAACCTTAGAAGAAATAGCCTCAGTCTCTTAATCCGTCGCGAGTCCTCGGCGCGAACTGGGGACTGGACGGTAACCCAAGGTAGGACCTGAGCGTGGACCATCCAAAGGAGGTTCCTGCTTGCCGTCCTGGGGCAAAGTGCAAAAGGAATTTTATTTGTTTATTTATTGATTGCAACCTGGGCTTTGAATCTATGCAAGTATAGATTCATTGCTTGGAGGGTGTGACAGCGGCGCGTGCTGGGCGATTCCCAAAGGATTCACCCAGTGCTTCTTCCACCCCCACCCCCATCCCCACCCCCCGACTGCGCCTTTCTCCGGAGTGGGAAAGAAGAAAAAAAAAGGCATTTAAAAAATGCCGAGCGTTCGAAGGCATCTCGTTGACACTTCAGATTACTGGTCTGTTTCTACCTCACTGTTGAACCAACCGAACTTGCGAGTCAGATGCAACGCCTGATAGCATTTTGCAACCAGAATGATCTAATGAAAAGGAAAATCGATAGGTAGGATGGCGGGAGGCTACACTTTGTAAAGCCTCGGGAAGAGAGAGAGAGAGAGAGAGAAGAGAGAGAGAGAGTGTGTGTGTGTGTTTCCTCCTAACGTTTTCCCCACCCCATGTGCCCTACAGCAGCAGAATCGGGTGGCCCTTGCCTTGGGGATGGCTCTCTGCTTCCTGTTGAAATGTTAATTCCATTGTTGGACGCCCCAGCTGTGAAGCATTACTCCTGGGGATCGCCATTCTATTAACAAGTGTAATCTTCCGATCTGAGTCTATAGCACCACCGCCACCTTTTTTAATAGATAGCATTTAGATTTCCAAAACCAAAAACCTTCCCACCAGTTTACATGTTATATTCCCACCTTTGTTTTTTGTTGAGGGACCAACGGAAGCTGTTGAGCTCACAGTATTTGTGCTCTCTGTGGGGGGGGGGGGGGGGAAGAGGGATATTTTAGGCTAGTCTAAGCAGAAAATGTGCTGGAGTATAAGCCAATGTAGATCTATCCCCAACCCCCCTCCACTTCCTAGCTATCTGGGTAATTGTCCGGATTCTACTTTCTTTCCAAATGTCTAGCGTTTTTCGTTCGGAATTGTCGCAACCATGGATATCATTTTGCTCAGAATATTATTTCTTGTCAGCTAAACGAGAAGACTATTTTTATTCCAATTTCCAGCTTAGGTAGCGGGCTCAAAACTGTATAATTAAGGTATGGCTTCCAACAGCTCTCCAGGTTCTTTTTAGAAATTAACTCAGCGATCATGTGATTGATCTCTGTAACCCGACAGAACAAGGTAGAGACTTCCATAATTAGAAAGTGCCTTGTTGTCAGTGGTAGGCTTCCTCTCAGTCTTTGTGTATGTGGGTTGTAAAGAGTTTTCTGTGGTATACTTGTGATTGTTGGTGGAATTCATTATGATGCGTTTTTTTGCCTTTCTAGTTTATAGCAAGCCCTCCTACTAGTAATTGGGTTCAGTACGGAGACAGTGGCAGTCGAGCAGTTAACAGTACTAGTAAAATTGAAGTCTTGAAGAGCAATAAATAAATGGTAGACACTGTTCTAAGACAGTACTTTTTTTTTTTTCTTTTTGGGTCACACCCGGCAATGCACAGGGGTTCCTCCTGGCTCTGCGCTCAGGAATTACCCCTGGCGGTGCTCAGGGGACCATATGAGATGCTGGGAATCGAACCCGTGTTGGCTGCGTGCAAGGCAAACGCCCTACCCGCTGTGCTATTGCTCCAGCCCAAGACAGTACATATTTTTTAACGCGAAGGATTCATCTCCTTGTACCTGAGGCATAGTTGCTGATGAAACTGAACCATTCAAGGGCACACATTTCCTCCTCAATTTCCTGTTCACTATTGTATCCTATCTCTAAAGTATCTATTCTCCTCTGATTATTTCTAATGAACATCTGTGTGCTCTTCTGCAGCACTTAACATTAATCCAGTGTTTCTCAACCTGTAATGACCTTGGCTCCCTTTCAGCTTTATTTCCTTCCTGTGGCCTCCTAGTCCTACTGTGGTTGGTCCGCTTGGCTTGTACCATGACCCCTCCTTTTATGCACTTTTCACTTGTGACTCTTTGGCATGTCCTGGGGGCCCATATGTCCCCAACCCCCCTTGAGAAATGCTGTACTAACCAACATTCTCTTACCTGTCACTGGTTATCTCTTTCTGAAGAATGTCCTGTTTTTCCAAAGTCAGGGAAGCATTTATTATCATTTCTTGATCTTGGTTGGATACTTTCAGGCACTGTGAGGAAGGATGGATCCAAGGAGTAGACTGGTGTTAGAAACAAATGTGACCCATGTATACCAGCATCATCATCTAGGGTCTTGTTAAGGGTTGGGGAAGTGCTGTTTTGTATACAGTGAGTGATTCAGTTCTCTCAGCCAGCCACTTGTTAATCCTTTGGTGTTAGGTAGACCTCTTCCTCTCTAGACCAACTGAACCTTTCTTCCTGGTTCAGTTGCTTTATATGCCAAGATCCCAGTGCCTTGAAATTTTTGCAGGAGCGAAGTGAAATGTTTTTCTCACTTTGCTTTATCCCAAGTCTTTCCCTTACATAAAGGTTATTAGGGCTGGAGGGATGATAGAGCAGGTAGGGAGAATGCCTTGCATGCAGCCAACAACTGAATTTGACCCCCAGTATCCAAATGAGTCCTTAAGCCCTACCGCGATTATCACTGAGCACAGAGCCTCACTGAGCAGAGCCAGGAATGAGGTGGATACGACCAGAAACAAAAACAAACAGATTATTAAGTGGGAATTTTCCTCTCCTTGAGATCTTTTGGTGGTGGTGGTGGTGGTGGAGTTGCACATAGGAATCTACTCCTGGGTCAGTGCTTATCCGGTATTTCTCTCTTTAATATTGACATTTCTGACACAACACTCCAGAGTAAATTCCCCCCCCCCCCCTTTGTGTTTTGGCACCGTATCCAACAACGTCACTCTTGGTGGTGCTCTGGGGAACAGATAGAGTGGGAGTCGGGGAGTGGAGGGGGAATTGAGCTTGTGTGAGGCTAGCACCTTAACTCTGTACTAGTTTCTTAGCTTGGAGAATGTTGTCGCCTCTTTAGGCAAGCTACCTTACAATGGCAGCTCTTGACCAATCTCATAGAAGGTTTGTGTCTACTAATGTATCTCACTGCCTCCCCTCGCAGAGGGGGCATTACTGATCTTGTTTATTGTTACACTCCCAGTGTCAGCTTGGGGTAGCAGCTAACCCAGGTTGGTCGTGGACCCAGGGCAGTCCTGTGTGTTCCAGGCACGCGCCCAAACTGCTGTACTATCTCCTTCCAGCCCCATGATCACACTTTAGGTGGACTCGGGTCTGAAAGCCATGCCAATAGCTTGAGAGGAGACAGGCAATGTTCGAAGTTCTTTGTCCTTGTGTTGTCACCCCTTGTGTTGTTCCTTAGGCCGTGAGGCTAAAAACTTGGGGAGACCCTACACTGAGAGACAGTCTCCGGAGTGCTGACGCTGTAACAGGAAAAACCCACAGATCTAGCATCGGAATCTCCATGGGACAATTTGTAGTCCCGTTTGAATCTCAGCAGAATGGCCTAGGGTGCCCTTTTGATCAGGGAAGTTACTCTGATGGGGATGCAATGGAAACAACCTGGTACTTGGCTGATTAAGTGACGAGAGAAAGACAGTGTGGAGAGCAGCAGTAAGGTGGATGGCTTGTGACAGTCATGATGGTGACTCATTGGCAGGGAATAAACAGGAAAGGAGCATGTCTAAGGGAGGTAGCGTTGAACTTAAGTTTGGACAAATTGAATTTGAGGTGCTGGAAGGGAATGGAGGTGAAGGAAACATACCCAGCAGGTCGAGTTTAATAAGTCACACTGGGTCTCAGGAGAGAGTGAAAATTGGTGATACAGAATGAAAACCAGTGCCAAGAGACAGGATCTCTGTAAGTAGGACAAACCAGTAGGACTGGGGACTAGGCATGTGTGATTTGGGGGGAATATCAACATCCCATTAATAGATTAGGAACCTAGGATAGTACAGAAAGTCCTTGGCTTCTGTCTTTTTTTTTGTGTAACAAACAGCAGTGCTTGGAGGTCTCTCCTGGGGGTGGTTAGGATTGCATTCCGCACAGGGGGTGGAATCCTGGCCTCCTGCATAGCTTGCACTGCAGCTGTGAACTATCTCAAGGCCTTGCCCCATCTCTTACATCTGCATCCAGTCCACTTGAATCAAGTTTAAGAATTCTGCCTGGGGCTAGGGAGGGACTTTGCCAAAGCATGGAGTAGGGCTTGGGCTTAATATGTACCACAGATC